AAGTTTAACAAAGATGTGCTGCTTTAAGTATCTTTCACTATAATCAACAAATGCCAGCTGCTTCTTATTTTACCATCCCATAAGCTGTTGCTGTCCATTGGAGAAGTGATAATTCCATTCATTATATGGGGCTCCATCAAAGCAAATAAATGATGATGATAATAATTAATGCTTATGAGTCAACCCTTTCGTTTATTAGTATATATTTCCATAAACAGTTTATTTCCTGATTGGCCTGCAGCCTAAATCAGAGATTCCTAAAGCCTGAGAGTAACTAAAAATCCTCTAAGCTCCATTTAGGAGCTTTTCCCCTCAGTTTATTCTTCATTTGCTAATTTGTTTTCCCATCCTTGGCCACGATCCATGCATGCGGTTATTTACATCAGTAATTAATGCCAATGACTAACCTGCTTTAAAATTTCATAAGCTGGGCTTGGTGTCCACCGAAAAGCACGATGTCTTTTCAGTACAATGACCTCCATTTATTTAGCACTGATTTATTTATGGGGTTTTTGCTTTGGCAAACAATGCTTTATCAGAGAACACAAAGAAAGGTAACCTCCTCATTATATAGTGATTAAAAAAACATCTCCAGGGGTAGTAACAATGGACATTATTTACATTTAAAAGTCATTAAACAAAAATGTTCAAATCCCCTTTTGAAATTATCACACAGTATCTTAGGAAAATATTTCTGTAGGCACAGTTTCTAAGTAATCATATACCCTCAATATGTACTGAATTTATGGCCTTATTCAATCACCGATGAGTTCAGATCATAAGGCGAGCTCGAGCAAGGAATAAAGAATGAAAAAAGAAAAGAAAACAACAACACAAGTATGTGTGTCTCTTAAACAACATGAATACATGTGCCAAAGTACTGTTCTTGATGCTGTTTATTGTGACATAAAACTTTACAATATAAACATGAAACCAAGTTTGTGCAAAAGCGTGTATGCATCGCTGTCCATCCTGCAGAAATAAAATGTTAAAACATTTTTCATTGGACAACAAACAAAACCTTTGGAATTTGTGTGAATTTGCTTTTGTTCCTTACATAAATGAGTTCAGATGGATGGCTGTACTATTTAAAGACATGAAATATCATCAAAAGGCTTATTTTTGTCATTTATGTCTTCCGTAGATTTCGGTGTCGATAATGTGGAAGTGTGTTATAACTACACATATTTAACAACATATAAAAGACTCAAGAATAAGAGTTAAGTGTAAGAAAATGCCACTCAACAACAGAGACGTTATTGGAAAAGTTTTGGTGAAAAAAGCAGAGAGGTGAAAACTGCTGCTGCTACATGCAGGAGAAAAGCCAACAGAGGCCTAGAAGTCATTTCCGCTTTGGTGGGAAGATGTTCTGGTTTCTGTGAATTACTGCTTCATTAAATAAAATCTTTAAAATTTCTAGCACGCATTGCATGTTCTCCTAGTTTTCTCACACCCTTATGGTCAGACTCTAATATCTACTTATATAAAATCATTTGTATAAGCGTAATGGTTGGCTTTATGACCAAACTGGGAAATTTTCCTTTTAATTTTTTAAAGTACATCACTAAAATAAAAACTTGTGAATGTCACAAACACAACTTTGCTCAGTTCTGGTGTATAACGCGGAACTTTTATGATTGGCCTTTAGGAGGTTTTGTTCTTTTTATGACCCGCTAACCTTCTTAGCTTTCTCCCTCCACAGTAGTAAGTGCTGCCCACCAGTCTCTCCAGGTGCTTGTTGCTCAAGATGATTGTTAAGTATCAATTTCCTGTGTCACCTTTATGGGTTTTATTTATTTGTCTGCTCCTTCTTGTGGAACAGTGCCTGAGCATCACTCAGGTAGATGGATTATAACTCAACTGCTACGACTCATCAATCTCGGAAATTTGACTTCCTGAATCTCATACAACTGTTACTGTCATATTATGGCACAGCATTATCAAGATCAATGGCATTTTAAATGCTTCCCAGTTAAGGATGATCGGTGACAATAAAAAGGTAAGTTGGTGATGAAACTGTCTCTGCTGTGGCGAGCTGCACTCAGCGCAGTGAGGGAGTCACCTACTGCAGCCCAGGACAAGATCTGCGTAACTGAATGAACTTGTAATCACAACAGTCACCCTGCTAAATGTCACATGTTGACCATTATTGATCATCCAAGACTTATTCGATACCCAATGACTTCATCAGGGTCTAATCAATTGACTTTTTTTTTTTTGTTCTCACATAAAAACGCATTTTAATATTCACAGCATAAAAGGATTTGCAGTGTTATCAGAACAGTGATATCAGGCTGCTGGAAATATGAACTGTATGTAAGCTTCAAATCCCACTGCTTTGTGTCTTGTCTCCCCTGGAGACAGGAGACCATCTGTAACAGCACAAGAAAATAAACATAATTGATTTTCCTTAATACTTTATAGTGTTACCTATCAGCCTGCACACACAGTTTGCAAACTGACGTAATGTTTTAGACCTTTGACACACACAGAAAGGAGTTTCAGATATCTCGGCTCAGATTCTCAGATATCCTATAAGCCACATCTGCAGGTGGTGTTGACAGCGTGGTTTTATGCAGCTGACATACACAAGTTAAGGTAAAGTTCATTTTTAGGTTGTTCAGCTGAAGTACCTGGATAGCAACAGATATTCCAGATGTTTTACAGCTCCATTTCACTGGACTCTCATTAGCAAATACATTAAAATAGTGTAATAACACAGTCCTGTAAACAGTAAAAGATTATTAACAGCAGCACAAACAGCAGGTTTCTAAAACAGTTTGAGACAAAGGTTTTATCTTGTATTATTTCAACAGGGTTTCACTTGGAATACCTAATAAAGTGGCTTTCAGGTGTTCCAATTTAATGGCTTTTTCCTGAATTGTGATAAGGAAAATTGCTTGTTTAGTTTTGCAAACGCATTATTTTTACGTCAGCACTGTGGGACAATGAAACCATCAGAAAGTAACTTTAATGAAACATTCAATACTTCAAAAAGACAGACATTCATTTTTATTGCAGTATTAATTTTGCAGTGTAATAATGTTGCTGATGTAATTTTCATAACAGAACTTTAAATTAAACTTTTCCACATATTTCATGGTTACTGTTAAGGAAATTTGTTTAACACGATCCATGAAAATCCAAAACTGGAGCCACGAAAATATGATTTAGGTCTGAATACCTAAATCTTCTTAAATGCACGAATAAGCTGACAGACTGGCAGACGTGGCGACACAAATTGTTTTCACTACTTTAAAACTCCTTAATAAGACACAAAAGACATATAACGAATATATGAATATTCTAAAAACTCAGCATTCTTTCAAAGCTTTACGTTTTTTCCATTGCTGACATTTTCCTACTTAAGACTAAAAGAATAATCTATCTTTAACTTAAACAGAGGATTAGTGTTTTATTAATATGGCATCGCTGTTCTATCAACATTTTGCTATTAACCATGCTTAGCATGCACAGTAGACTACTGATTTGTGCTGTGAACAAGCAGGGGATGTTTAAGTAAAAAAGAAATAAATAAATAAAAGCAACTCCTCTTTCCCTGCAGCTAAAACAATGCTGTACGAGGGAGAATATTACAGAGTGCGCTGCAATGATGAACATTTCCTCCTGTTTCATGTTTAACCCTGCTCATTTCCCACAGTAAGAACTCCGGAAACACACAAGTGTGCACAGCAGCTTGGGGGGAAGATGACTGATGGCTTGTTGTCATGATGTTTGGGATTCTGCCGACTCGAAGCCTCCTGGCTCACTGAAGCTGTGAAGCGCTGCAGCACATACTACAGGCTATAGTTGAAAAGTCCTGGTATTAGTAAGGTATTGCTTCATTGTCACACTGTTGAGCCTGTGCAGAATGCAGTTATCTGTAATGTCCCTGGCCATTTGCACAGTAGTTGCACTGGATTTATGATTATGGCTCATGTGCCGAGACAGATTTCTGCTATTCAACAATGAAGCAAGAACAATTATTAGAATTTCACACTGAGCGGATGGGTTATTTTGTTTTCAGCTGGTATTCCCTGGATTGTGTGTGTGGTCTACGCTAAGATAAACCTTACTTCTGACCTAAGGATTTTTCAAAAATGTCAATATTTGGGGGGAAAAAAGCCGACAGGCTCCATCAATCACTCAGATAGCCATCTTTCAACTGGTCAGTGTGCCACGCTGCCTGTGTGTGCTTCTTCTTCAGTCCTTTCTCTGTACCTTGAATTATTTCTCTTTGTCCCTCTGCCATATTACAGCTCTATCATGATGCCTGATGAGCCTTCCCACCATAAACATGGCATAGATAGCTGTCATCTTCCCATCTTTGGAACTGCATTAACAGCAGTGACCCATCTGGCTGGTGGTGGCAGTCGTCTGTCAGCGCTGGTTAATTCTCAGCCTTGCGAGGGTCAAGAGCTGACACATAATGAGACTTGACAGTGTTGCAGGGCTACACGAGGGTCTGGTGTCAACTGCGGTTGCAGCATTATGTCAGCAGCAGCAGGATGAGAGTTCACTTCAAAACCAAGGAGGTAATCCGAGCACGGCCGCACTGATCCCAGGGCCCTGACTGCCTATTGACACACATCAGAACATGGACGCAAAACAAATTAACATCAGTCAATATTCTCCCCCCACCTCCTCCTGGCTCCTGACACAGCCACCTAAGTGTTGCCATGTTTACCTCACCTCCAGTCAAAACAATAGAGACTACGGGGATAATGATGGAAAGGAAGAAAATGTCTGCACTCAGGTTTAAGAGGGTATTTCAGGTGTTTATGGGCAGAATATTCCCATTCCTGCTATGTGTGTAAGACTGCAGAGTTTGGTTTGAGGGGGATTAAAATTCAGAATTGTATTTGCAGGATCCATTTAATTTAAACAGAGAGATTATACTCTTTCTAAATCTTGTGCAAAATTTGTGGTTAAGGGGACACAAGCTGTCCAGAGGAAGGAGTCTGAGCTAAACAAAATCATGCAACTTCTGTTCCACCGGGCAGTGATGTGGAACAACACCTCATATATGCTAATCAAACATATGGCACTTCTAGGAATAAAACATGGGTTGTTGTTGTTGTTGTTCTATGAGATTAAAAAAAAAAAGGTTACTTGATTTTGAATGCAATTTGAATGCATCCAAAGGCTGCAATAGTCTGTGGCTGCAGCAAAAAAAAAGGGAAGGAAAAAAATCATTTGCAAATGTAAAAACCGAGATTGCCCGCACCTGTTTTTTTTCCCTCTTCCTCTTCTTTTCCCCTCTCTGCAACCCTTTCCCGTCCCCCGCCTCCCTCTGCTGAAAGCCATTACAGAAATACAATTTCTAATACCTCCGCACAGGTCTTCGATCGACTGCAAACAAATTTATATTCAGGCGGTAAACAGAAAGCTGCAGAGATTTATTTAGAGTGTGGAGGAGAGAAACAAGCTAGCGCGTGAACCCTGAGTAACCTCCGAGCTGACATGAAGATGGATCAGTGCACCATGCAAATGCATGGAGAGAAGGGATATATTGCACTCAGTCATTCAGCACATCGCTGCCTGTAGAATCCCATTAACTCCCACAGCTGGGACCATATTTCTGTGTTGTAAGAATGCAGTTAGAAGTTGTTCATTACGCTGAATTATTTTGTAATTACTGCAGACTTAAAAGACATAGGAAATATAGTTAAAATAACGCGATAAGAACGGAGGCAGATATTTTATAGGTTAGGGTTTTAATTAAATGTTACCTGTTAGATAGCAAATAATACTAATATTAATAATGTTAATAACAGTTATGCTGCTACTACTACCACTAGCAATGATAATGATAATAAAAAGGAAACATAACCGTGAAGTTACTATATTGAAGTAGTAATAAAATGCATATATAAAAATTTAATTTACTAATTAATAGGTTGGTTTTTTTAACTAACTAAACTGAGAGTTCGTGGGAAACAAAAATACAGGTGTAAATAAGTTAAAATTATTAAATAACTTTACACGTCTTCAACTTATTTGCAGGATCACAGCATTTTTTTTTTACAGATATAATAAATAAAAGTGCCAATCACATGATCGTTGAAACTTAAAAATAAGAAGCTAGCTATTTAATGTTTGTCGTTCTTTTTTTATACCCTCGCAAAATATTGGATATATAGAAGCTGTGAAGTGGGATCAAAGTGAAAGCGAAAATAAATGTGATTTTCAAATGAATATTAGAAGTTAGCACTGGCGCATTATCAGCTCTATTAATTCCCATGGTTTTAAATGTATGCGGCCAAGCTGAGCGTCACAGTGATGCGTGAATTTGAAAGTAGGTCACCAGAAATAAATACATAAATAAATATATAAATGAAAACAAGAAAAACCCCAAACAGCTGCACTGTGGAGCTCCTTGATCTGCGAGCTGCTGTAGCTGTGCGCCTGCAGATCTGCTTTTGCACCAAATGTCTTTTAGCAGCTTTTTGCGCTTCTTAATATCTAAATATATTTTCTGTCACTCTTTCAACTTTCAGCCATGTAACCCTGTTTACACATGCGCGAAAATTGTCCCACAGCAGTTCATTTCCGGTTAAACACGAGAAAAGTACAGTGGTAAAAGCAGCTGCTAACTCAGCTGAGGAGCACGTCAAACTTGAGCTGAACACGTCCTCTCTCCCACTTACAGCTTCTTGATCTTCACGCGGAGCCATTTTTTGTATTTGTTCGAGACTAATTACAAATCTGCTGCCACTGAACTTTAAATACCAGCTGTCATGACCTCTGAACCCGTCAAGTGTGTCTTTCACATGACCTAAGCCCTTTGCTAAAGAGGGCCCTGGCTTTTTCAAGAAGCCTTGAAATATTTACATAATCCATTAACTACATCAGTGCAGACTTATATTATGCTAATTCGACTTTGGACAAAAAGTTTTTTTATTGTTATCTTGAAAAATAACCAGCGAGGAAGAACATGACTTTGTCTAAATGGACAAATACTGCGTTTTTGGCGTCGTGTCCTACCTGTCTGAAGGTGAGAGGCCCACAGAGGTCCTCAGTGTGATGATGATTGACTTTCCTGCTTTCTAAGGATGTTTGTAGTTTTGTTCTGTGGGCCTGCTTGTTGTGCTCGGACACCATTAAAAATGTTGACCTTAAGCGAGTCTTGCAACTTGCTTGCTCGGCTTAATCAGTTTTGTCCAGCCTGATGACAGAGATGTCCAGCTATTGGCCGAGAAGGGGAGGGCACGTCATCTCCATCAATCAGGGACTGCTGTTTCTCCTCTGAGGAATGTCCCCACGGTCGTCCAGCCGCCTGACCATGCATGAGAGGCCGGGCATGAAGTGCAAGCCCGTCCAATGATTATGCAGGGGAAAGGTGATAATGACTTCCTATCAAGAGTTAACGGCCGAAGGGGAGAATAGCCCTCTGTTAACGGGCTGCTGCCGAGCAAAAGAGGTTATAAACCAGGACCTGGGCAGCAGGTCTCATCCTGAACTCGGTGGTCGTGATGACGAGGGGAAAGTGGAGGTGGAAGTTGCCTCGGGATTTTATTCTCCGCGTCTGACTTTGTGCACCTCTTCGGACAGCCCTCCTCCTCCAGGGTTTGAGACTCTGGAGGGATTCTCGACACTGGCCTGCCCCCACTCGTCCCGTGTCCCCTGGCGGTGCAGGGCGCAGGGGCAGGGCTCTCCAGGACGTGAATACTACGCGTCAAATAAAGAGAAGCCACAGCGCTTTGGGTCACTTACGGAGGAAATTCAAATTTACCCTCACAATATCCCCGAGATTCACGTCGCCGTGGGAAGCTCCACGAGCCCGGACTGTAAAGGAGCTGATACGGATGAAAGGAGTAAAACTTTTGAGTGGATGAGAGCAAAGAGGAGTCAGCACCGGGCGGGTAAGTTTTTTATGTGTGTGTTCAGGGACACTGAGCGAGAGAGGGAGGGGTGACATGACCGCGAATTTAATTTGGGATAATTTGTAAATTTATTTTGTTCGGTTTTTAGCTTTTAAATAACTTCTATTTATAGTTGAGAAAGTTTGATCGAAGTTTTCTATTCGAGCAGGAAAAGAAAAAAAAAAAGGGGGGGGGGGAGCTGACGTGTGTGATGCGTCACAGTGAACGATTTCCTCCGTCACCAACAAACAAAAGATGAATTTCAAAGATAAATGCTCCCACCTTAAAAAGCAAATCAAAAGCAGCTGTAGCTGTTCTTACTCGACGCCACATTTGAATATGCTCATGAGGAGTCGGGTGCAATTTTCTTAACGGTTTCATGTTAATATGTCTGTTATTCAACATTTTTTTGCTCCACCTACTGTTGCAAGCTGGATTTAGACTGTGCACAGAGGGAGAAGGTGAAGTGCAGCGAGAAGCCTGTTTAGCCTCAGTGTATATTCAACCCGGAAAACAATCAATTATTTACCCTTGCCCTTACTAACCAGCAGACTTTGAATAATGCAACAGACCACTGCCTGTCGAGGCTCACAGGAAGTTGAGTAAAACTTACTCCTGTAAGCTGAAGTGCTCCCTGAGTATTGATTAGTTGTCTGTTTGTAATGAAAGCCCTTGTGTATTGATTTCAGTTTGCAGCACCTTTACATGTGTCCACCTTTTTAACATAATTGCTGTCACAGATCATCATTTCACTGACTGATGAGTTCTGGGCAGAGAGCCCACAGAAGAATACATATCCCTGACTTTAAAAAAATATATATCAGGAGCATACTAATGTGAAAAATGCCCATCAATCCTCAATTTTATGTGAGTTATAGTATCTTATGTAGATCCTTCATTTGATCAATAATGTCATTTGATTGACTGGCCACTGCACTTGAGCTGGGTTTCATAAATTTTACATGGAGGAAGATTTACAACAGCGGTGGTCCAGTATTGTTTTTTTTTTTCTTTTCTTTTTAATAGTCTGTGTCTGCAGTAAGAATGCTGCTGACCCAAATATCCAGTGACCAAATCTGAAACAAACAAAAAAACACTATTTGTGGTAGAAGGGCCCAGCTCGTCTTTTAAGGGACACAACAAACAATCTGAACATAAAATAATGTCATAATCTTTCTGCTACCTTTGTATGCTCTCAAAAAATGAGAGACATCACATTTGATTTTAATTTTGATCATTTTGTGACTCAACAAACATAAAATCTGTAGAACCCAACTGCTCAATATTCAGATTAGTCCACCGGACGGTCGCAGAATAAAAAACTATGTGGCGATGGGTCAAGCTCAAACTGATGAAATAACATTTTTAAAAAGTACAATAAAAAATCCTTGGTTACATTAGTGGCTTAGCTACTGATCTGCATTCGCAGATTATTTTTGTGACAGAAATAGAAATGTGGCATAAACACAGCTGATTTATTATAAAAAATGAAATGGTGTAAGAAACAAACAAACCAACAAACAAATAGAAAAACCTACAGTTCGTGTTCTTTAGACCAGATATTTTGCCAAAGCGAGGAAGGTAGAAGGTGGCAGGCACACTGCTGATTGATCTCAAAGTCATTTTATCCATCAAACACATTAGAGACACACACACATGATCCAAATCCATGTGCTTGGGAAAACCATTTGCTCACACCCACCCACGCAAAAACACATTTCCTGCCAGTATTGTTTGTATCTCTGTAACCTCTTTCTGTATCTCTCTGAAGGAGATCATCTGTAGGAGTAACTCATTAGGACTACTGTGTAACTTGTAAAAGAGTCATTAGTGAAAGTATGCTTTCCTCTGGAGGTTGTATTGGTTTTGCCCCCCCCCCCAAAAAAAGTCTTGCGTATTCTTCCACGTTGAAAGGCCTCCATAGACCTGCTGTAACCTGATCTCCTGGCTCAGTGTATATACTCCCAGTGCGTCATTCTTCAATTATGCTTTGACAGCACCTGAATTACTGTGGGCTGGATGCCCAGATGACTGAGGCAATGTGTATTGATCTATCCCTTTTCTTCTTCCCTCTCCTTGGCTTGGAAGGCCCGTCCATTCCCTTTGCTGGCTGGCTATTTTTAAGCATGCAAGTCATTCCTCAAATATTTAGTTTGATTCTTTTATGCCTTCTGGCCGGCATCAATTCTATTATCTTTGGAGCCATTAATCAGAATGCGCATGTGATTTGCACTCCACAAAGCTCAAGTTCTTAATTACGTACAGTTTCTCTGCATTGGTTCTTCATATTCACTGGCCTCAAATTCTCAGGCTTGGTCACCTTCGCATTCATTTTCTTAAAACACAGATGTTGACATTTATCCTATAACTGACCTTTCCATCTGCTATGCTTTTCCAAGTGGCTGGAGGCCTGTTAACCTTCCTCTCTATGAATTGTGGTGGGAGGCATTGCTCTACACCTGGCACACTGACTCCATTATGCAGAAGCAGCAGCCCATTTTCTCAGAGGCAAAGACACGCTGACGACTACCCACAATGTCAGCAATGAAAAATCCAGATATAGCTGCACTTCCTGTCATTCATTGCACATAAGTAGCACAGATGATACTTTAATGTGTAACCCAGAAACCTCAGAGGACAAAAATGGAGACATTTGTCATTAATGCAGCGTTCGAAAGGATTTGTAAACTGTTAAACTGTCATTGACACAGAAAGACCCGAAGGCAAATAATTAATGATTCCGATGAATACAGTTAATGGACTGTAAATGCTACAAAGTTGTGTTGAATCGCCAAACATCTGACTGCTTTATATCAGAATATACGGCATATATTATTTTCTATACGCTTTTTAATGAACTCGCTGAATGTTTTGATGAACACACTTTTAAAATATAATACTGCCCAGTAATACTGCAAAACATCCAAACTCTCACCCTCAGAAGTCTCACTTTAAATCTGATTTCCAAGCTGTGAGCTTGTGGACTGCAATGTGCTGCACAGGTCTTTCTGTTCTTATGTCCCATGTAGATGCACAACATTTCAAGCCTCTCTGCTTTACAGCAGCTCAGGATTTTGCACCCTGCCTATAGGCTTTTTGGCAAAGCTGATACCTCCGATGAAACATCTTTATTATACAGGGGGCACTTTAAATCATTAGACTGGCACACAGCCAATTCCTGTAAATGAGTTTTATATCATTTTATCCCCGGTGAAGGCTTCAATACTGAACTACTCTTTAAGTAAAAAAATATATAATAACCATTATTTATTTATTCTCCATTATCACTGAGACTGGACTGCATATCATTTATTTCCACAGTAAACACTGAGTTTATTTTTTTCTGGAAACAGAAAGTTATGACTTCATCTATAAACTGAACTTTTCACGTTTTCAGCTTCGGGGTTCAGCTTAAATCGAGGATATGGGCGTGGATAATTTAATTCAGAAAGGTTTTGTGCTTCTTTTGTTAGTAGCCTCATTGATCTTGCTAAAGAAGGTTTTCGTGTCCTCTCTCTCTCCCCAGTCAGGACGCGCATGACCTGTGGGTTCAGTATTGTTGACTCGGGCCTCGGTGTGGTGGAGGCTGGAAATCGCAGCATCTGCGCGGACGGCCATCCCACGATGAACGGAGCCCCGAGGATCAGTTACAGCACCAAGCAGCTGACCGAGCTGGAGAAGGAGTTCCACTTCAACAAGTACCTGACGCGGGCCAGGCGGGTGGAGGTCGCCGGCGCCCTGCAGCTTAGCGAGACCCAGGTGAAAGTTTGGTTTCAGAACAGACGCATGAAGGAGAAGAAATTACAGAGAGACGGGCTACTCTCCGACCCGAGGCCCGCGGCTCCGCACTCACACGCCGACACTTTGGACACCTGCCCCTTCCACGGATCGACCTAGCCAAGAAATAAAAAAAAAAAAAATCAAAACAAACAAACAAACACCTGCCCCTGAACTCCTGAACTGCATCGTGCGTTACACGGCGAGTCTGCAAATGTTTTGATTGGCGTTTGCATCGTTTTCAATCAGGCTTCACCTTTATTTGCTTACAACGATGGATGCTTAACGCAAGAAGCGCAAAGGCAAGTTTCTTCATGCAAGAACGGGCCCAGACGATTTGTCATTCTCTCCGGCTTCAGACTGGTGCTCTGATTTGAATATTAAAATTCAACGCATCCCATTGCGCTCCTATCTACACAATGTAAACGAAGATACAAACTCGTATTAATTGCCCATAGAAACTGTGGAAGTCCATTTGCATATTTTCTTTTTGTGTTTTTTGTGTTTCTTTTTTTTTGTTTTTGTTTTTTACTTTTTTGGGGACAATTTATTCGGCAAACCTGAACACATTTTTAACTCGTGCTTCCCAGTTTCTATTTAAAATGTATTATTTCTATTTATTGAAGATCTATTTATGATTATTATTTATTTTGATATTTTTACAGCATTTATTCACATTATCCCAAAGCTGCCGTCTCAGACAAATTAAAGTCCACAATTATGTGGAATTGTTTCTGTTTAATCTGTTTGCTTCTGACGGCTCACATTTGAGGACAGGAGGAGATACACCTGTTGTAGGCAGAGCCCACGCGTTGTGTTACCAAATATTTATCAAGCTAATTTAGCTTCGCTTTGAATCCTACCTTCGTGTCGTGTGTTTTATCCACTCCCACTGTTTCCTTTATCCACGGAACGATTAAAATGCCATGATTGATGGAGAGATTTATTGACGGGCTCGTATTGGAGTATTGATCCGTGGTGATCCATCCATTTGAGGCACAAATATGGGAGCATTTGCATGCATGTGTAACTGCATGTTAATGGAATGTAGAAACGTCGCGATCGGGAGCTGTTGCGTCTTTTATTGCTTCTATATATGCATCAGAAAATGATAATTTAGCTGAAAGACTCATGCGGGAGAAGAGACAATAAAACGGTGCCTGTGCTGTTTTGCAGATCAACCAATAAACTGTGTGGCCCCAGCAGTTCGAGCAGCTAAATATTCCTTCCAGATTCACATCTCATCTCATATAAAGTAAATGATGGTAAACACGGCCCTTAAACACTGTTATGTTTCCGGTATCACACTGCGTTTCTATCATGTTAATGTCTACTTTAATATCAAGATATGGGCCATCAGGCACATTAATTTTGTGTAAGGGAATATTTTTGTTTAGCTTTCAATTAGCGTGTTTGCACTGGATATGAAGGTTACTGGATCCAAAACGGATATTAATCATAACAAAGGAATTAAACTTGAGTGTTGGAGATTAGAAATAAAGTGCTAGGATAAAAAAAAAAAAGATGAAGAAGAAGAAGAGGAGGAGGAGGAGGAAGAAATTGGGTCGGTTTCAAACCTCTGACAAGCGTTCACGTTTGAATTTGTCGTGTAAGTAAAATGCTACTGCTAATACTCATTTAAAGTAATACAATTGCGCCTTTGTAGGGCACAAGAGTAGACATGGAGGCTGCAAGGCCAAGCTAATATATGCAGTTACACCAGAGTTCACCTCTCACCTCCTGACCTTTGCCTTGCCTCGGAACAACGATGACCCGGTCAGCGGCTCTGAGAGAGCAAAATGCACCATTAATTTGGGTGACCTCGAAGTCTGAGCTTTTCTCTTCCTTTCTTTCGTTTTCTCTTCTTCTTTTTTTCAACAAGCAACTCCAAATGCTTTTGTTCTGGTGTGGGGTGTGTGTGTCCACACAACAATATTTCATCGAGCTGAATAGAAGGGCGAGTAGGCCATATGATAATTGTTCATATTATAATTCCATACCAGGCCAGATAATGGATTTTTTTCTCCTACACCTAGAGGTAACCTAATTTTTGCCCCGTCTCTTATTTTAATAAGCCAAAAAAATATGCTACTGGCTCAGTTTATAAACCGGATGAAAGAGTCTTTTCACCCAATAAGTTTTTGGATATAAACTACAGACCTATTTTTAATAGCAAAGTTGAGATATTAGAGTTACTTGAGCATGCTCAACAGTTAATATGATTCCATGTCAGAGCCAGCATAAACAATATTTGGAACAACTATTCATTAGAAGTTTGCAGTTTATATATTTTATGCATATTTGCTTGAAGAATTACAAAAAAAAAAAACCCTACAAACACCTATTTTTCTCCAACCCCCAAACAATATGTTTTTAATGTGCATCTCATTAGTGAAAGCCAGAAAAGAAAAGAAGTTTAAAGTTAAAGAAGAGGGGCCAACTTTACAAACATTTAAAAGTTTTCTTTTTCTTTTTTCAGAATTGATATGAATGATTTTACATGTAAGCAGGGCCAAAATATGTTGAACCCAATTTATCTAGAATTTGCATTTAAACAAAACACACACCATTAAGGCTGCCTTTCTCTAAACAAAATAGCACAAATTGGAATGTTTAACAAAACCATCAAATGTGTTTGTCTCGTTAATGCAAAGTGCGCACGTGAAGGTCACAGGGATAATGATGGGCACAGCCATGTTGGAATCATGTCAGTTTAAAGCCAGCAACTATAAAAATGTCCACTGTTATTACAGCAATGTGTTGTTTATGTTGACCTTTTTAGCAACTCTTATCATCTTATCATGACAGGGCTCCATGTAGCAGGCTGTAACGTGCACAGCTGACCCGTGCAGCACGTGTGCACTCTGACTTTTTATTTTAATCCAAACTTACTTAATTACAAGTTCTTCTGCATAATAGATGCACCTAAAACACACAGCGGGCTCAGTAATAAGGAAAGGGAAAAGAAAGCTAATGTAAATTAGAAAGAAGAGGTAAATGTAGAAAAAAGAGCTGATTTATTTTGTTTGAACTGTCACCTTCATTTCATCGTGTGGCAGCTTCAGTGTTTGCGTCTCAATTGATGAAAGCAGAACTGCATTGTTTGTTCAGACCTGACATTTAGTTCGAAAGCATTTGAGCGTGACTGCTCTGATGAATTTGTACTCTCCTGTAATTCCTTCCTGAAGATGTACGGTTGGTTTGGGAGACTGACAGCTGTGCTGTGCTTAGACACACGTAAACACGTGGCAAGTGGGAAGAAAGTTAAAGCCAAAATGACTCGAATCCAGATATATTGCTGCCACAGGTAGCACCAGCGTCATCATCATCTTGGAGCAAGCTTTCCTCACCTACAGTGGTTATTTCTCATGATGAAAATCGATCTAAAATCAGCTTTATTCTTCTCGTTAATTCAGCAAGAAAGCTATTCATATTTAAAATAAGTATAATCATTTGTTTAATGAATAGTTCTGCTTGTTTTGTTAAAGTATTGCTAAACAGAAAACACACAGCTGAGATTAAAGCAAATCCACTGATGTATTAGTGTATAATGAATGAGGCTATTGGCAGTCTCTCACTTCTTCTCTTCTCTATTGTGAGCTGCTGATGTGGGCAGCTGTTACAATCCTCCCGAGAAACACTGAGCCATGAGCAATGTGTGCCTTACACAATACCTTACACTACTTTTTTAACATGAACATATATAAGTGGGTTCTTTCTGAGTTTGCACTAATTAATGCTAAGTTAACCTGAAATTAACTTAATGCATAATATGCATGTAATATTTTCACCAAGCTCGGGGGAATAAAATCAATTGATCACGTTAAGCTTTTTCTAGCTTTATGTGAAACACTTACAGAACAGATAGCTCCGTTGTTGTTTTAATTATTTGAATGCTCGCCTCCCTTTAGTTTTTTTTCTGCTTGTCTGATTTTACTGTTTTTCTTTATTTGCAAAGACTTTCATGCACTATTAGTCTTTTTCACCGGCGTTATTCACATATTTGACTACCAAACAATTTGTACATCAAGAAAAGTAGAAATGAAGCGCACCTGTGTGTGCACGAGCGCGTGCCAATGCATGTTTGGATGTTCTGTGTACAATTACACAAATATGTGTTTGGTTTCCTAGGTGCTGCTAATAATGCGCTCAAAAAAGATACAAAGCACCTATTTGAATAATTGTTCACTCGCATGCGTACACACGCGCACATACAAATCCATACATTCTGACAGAGCGGCGCTGAACAACGCGCACGCCAGTCCAGTCCTTGCCTCTCCTCTCTCGCTCCACTCCAGGGAGCAGATGTTTGGGGACAGCTTACAGCCTCAGCGAATTTCTGTGTACAAAGCAAACAGCAGCACTCAGCACTTCTGGCTGCAATGGGAAATGTGCTCTTGAAGGGGGGGGAGGGGTGGCCTTTGAGTCACTGTAAGGTATCATGAGGATGGGTGGAGAGGGGCAAAAAGAGTGAGAAGGAGGGTACAGGCAGAGGTGAAACGGTGTCAAGGTTACAAGTGGCTTGCATAAGAAAATCCCCCCAATTTCCCGAGACATGCGCTGCTGTGTGTCGAAGCAGTGCGGGGCAGCACCCTTAGTACCCCTGTGTGACATCATCAGGAAAATCAAGCTACATATCTGATTGTGTCTACATGACCTCTCCAGTGCAGCTCTGTCTGCTCACTAGTTTGGATTGCCCTTTGAAAAGTTGCAGACAAGCATAAAATGGAGGGAAAAAAAGGGAAAAAAAGGAAAAAAGCCCCCCAAAAAATGCCGAAGGTGCAACCAAAAAAACAACCAAAACAAGGGAACAATTCTGCTAATGATGCCACCGATATAATGCATTGATTTAAAGGTGCTGGTCCTGTGGCAGTATGCTACCTGTGCTCTCTTTTGTTTGCCTTCTATAGAAAAGCAGCATTTAATATTTATGTAAAAAGATCACTAAACGTAAGTTCTCGAGATCGCTCATGGAAAGGACAATATTATTTTGCACTTAAATAAATATTTTGTGCCCTTTTCATCCATTCCAAAATATTTACAGCGCAGCTTTACCGCATATGCTCGTCAATATGCTGCACACAATTAGCTCAAACGCACACAAACATACACTTTTACTTGTGCATGCGAGAAGACACATTTTGACCTCTCATCAGTGTATTATAATCCCTAAACAAACCATCATAAATGAGCCCTGCCATGCTTGTTTGTCTGAGCGAAAGTAACCCCCCCCCACCCCACCCTCCTCTTCTGCCCTTGGGGTGAGGTTGCCATAGTGACAGATTCATAGACATATGGAGAGAGAGGAGAAGAGGAGCTTGGCTGAAGGGGTGGGGCTGAAGGGGTGAGGTGGGGAGAAGACAGAGGAGAAGGGGATGGGTACCAGTTTGAGGACGCCGGCGCTCCGTCTTTCAGATGTGTCTTTGTGTTTCATCTGTCAATCAGCCATCCGTGGCCGTTTGTGCTCGGCGAGTGAACAGTTCATGAACTTTTACTCTGCCAGACGCCATCTTGGCTGTATTTCACAGGGGACGGGATTGATTTTCAGGCATCTTCACCCCCCCCTTCCCAAAAAGAAGAAGAAAGAAAACACGATAGGCTACGTGTGGAGGCAACAAAATGTGCATTATTAAATTGACTTGCAAATTTGTGTCCGCATATTGCCGTCTCTTGTCGTTTTGTTCCTTATGCTAATGACTAACGAGCATTAGGGAGACAAACATACAGATGTTTTTGCATCTCGCTAATTAGATTTGGATGATGTTTTCGGCTAACCTGAGGACAGCTTGACAATGGACAAGGAAAGGGAGAAGAAAGGGAAAACAGAGAGAGTGAAAGCAAAGGGGTGTAGGTTTGCAGCGGCCATCGGGGCTGGCCTTGGTGCTGTAAAAACATATTTTTTCATCAGACATTTTATGCAAAAGGGAAAGACCAGGTGCTCAATCAAACCTCACGCCCACTGTTTTATTTTTCATCTTCACCCCTCCCAGTGCTTCTCTGCACAAACCTTCTGCGTGCCTTCCCTCTACCCTCACACCATTCTTCTCTTCCTCTTCCCTCTCTGTGTCATTCGTCTTCCCTTCTGCCCCTCCGCTGCCTGCTCTCCAACTGATACGAGAGAGTGACCCTCGGGCCCTCAGAGGTCAAGTGATACAAGGTCATTGGCAGGTCATCTCTGCTGACTGGCTGACCTCTAAAAGGACTTCTGGAAGGAGCCAATCAGATCTTGCTCCTTCCCCCCTAAGGCGGATCCCCCTCCCCAGCTCCTCGGCAGCCTGTGTCACATGACCAGTGTGAGGCGTCAGAGGGAGGATGATTAATGATGCTTTTAGTACCTGTTTAGAATGAAGCTGTCCACACCGCACTGTAATTACCCACTCCCAGGCGGCAGCTGCCCAACGTAATTGCTTTTTGTTTGTTGACCTGGTTTATTGAGGAAAAAGATGGCTTTGGCTGCGTAAGATGGTGCTATGTACAGTATACAGAGGTGACAATAATATGTATGTCAAATATTTTGGTGTCATTGCATGGTAGAGATTTATGTAAGCCAGGAGAGAGAGGAAGATACAAATGTGGCAGGATACAAAGTCACTTTAGACTGGTTTTGTACCACAAATGCACTTCTTAACACAAAAATAAAAGTGGAACGGTATTTAGCCACAAAATGTCAACAACAGATCCACAACCTTTGCACAGAACTCCAAAGACAGCCACAGACCTCCTGTGCAAGGTTACCGCATGCAACACTAAAATACACACACGTTTGGCATGCACAGTCACCGAGGAGTATGTTCTGTCATGCATAATTTATGACAACATCTCAAAGG